CATAAAGGAATGCAATTCACAATAATGCTGTTTTGTCATTTAGTTACTGATTGACTGAGGAGGGTTGTGTGTTTGTCTTTCAGGTGGATTTGTGGACTCAGCTGAGGTTGCACCCGCGCCCACCCCCTGGGAAATCTCTGTGGATCCACCTCCTTTGTTTACAGACTGTGAAATGCATATCCCAGTGCCCCACTCATATTCCCTGGGGGTAAAACAAATATCTCTTACTCTTCTTAGAGTGACAGTTTATGTTGCTTTTCTAAAGCATGTTCAATAAGGCAACCAACTTAGTTTTTATGAATACATGGTCCACCAGAACAATGGTTTTTCAAACATGGCAACTTAAAGATGTGTGGACTTCAACTCCCAGGATTCCCCAAACTTCCCCAAGTTTGAAAAACATTGAAGTAAATCAGGGGTGTAAAACGCGATTTCATTTAGGGCCACAACAGGGTTATGTTTACCCCGGATGGCGGGGAGGCCTGGCTGGGGCTGGGTGTGGCCAGGGTGGGTGTGGACATGGTGGGTGTTTGACACAGGCCCAAGATGTGCTTTTTCCCTTCTCTTTTTTCTTTCCACAGTAGTCCTGGGCTTCAAGAAGCACTTTGCCAGCTAAAAACAGGTTGCATGGTGTTGCGTCCGGTCGGACGCAGCCGGCAGCCACAGCCAGAGCCGGAAGAAGATCCGATTGGCCCTGGTGTGGCTGCCAGCTGGCGGGAAAAATGCCGCCACCTGATTGGTTCCTCACCTGACAGCTGTCAGTATAAATAGCTGTCAGGAGGGCGCTGTTCTTGTTCTTCGCGTTCTGAAGTGTTCTGTTATAATAAAGCCTGTTGTTGAAACTTCTCCTCAGTGCCCGAATACTTAAAATGTGGAGGCATCAGTAGGCCCCCGCATGGCCCGTTTTCAGTTTCCTGGCCTTCAGAAGCACTCTGCTGGCCAAAAATAAATTGCCTGGATACCCCAGAAGGCCCCTGCATGGCCTGTTTTCAGCCTCCAGAAGCACTCTGCTGACCAAAAATGGACTGCGCAGAGGCCCTGTGGGCCAGTTTTTGATATTTCCAGGCCAGCCCCACAACCCAGATTTAAGCACCCCATGGGCTGGATCCATGAATCCAGCAGGCCTTGAATTTTACACTCCTGCACTAAATGAACCACTTCTAAAGGAATCCTAACAACAGCTCTAGAAGACACAACATATTTATTGGGCTATCTGTTCAAGATATTGTTTAACTGATTACTCCCACTTTTAAAGTATTCTTAGAAATGTTCAATATTTTGAATACTGTTGCAATCTTCTAAGTAAGAAGTTACTCCTAGAATATAAAATTATTATTGAAATGGTTTTGTTGGCAGTTTGTTAAAGAAAGTAGGCAAGCATAAGAATGTTAAAGCTTATGAGATCATTGGGAAACTTAGATATAGAATAAAAGATAAATCACAATAAAATGCCACCTTTCAAAGATAAGTTGTTAAATATTCTTAAATCTAACTAATAGTAAATCCAAGTAAATTCAGAGTAAAGTAAGAAGCTGCAGGGTTCTAAATGCTGTCTTTTGAACTCTTGCACAAATAGTACAATTAGAAAAAAAATTAAACATATGAACCATATAACATTTCATTGCTATTAATAACCTTGAGGGATTCGATTAGTATGTAATGTGTGGGATTTTAAATAGAAATTATGGTTTTTCTGTAGGAAAATTAATAGTTCAAGGGACAATTGCTTTCTGAAATCATTTTGGATCACTTTTTATTATATTGGTAGAGATATCCACAAAACTCCCATAGAACATTTGATATTTGCATATTCATAGTTAGAATTGGGTATAGTTTGGAGGAAGCTTAAGGCATGATAAAATGGATTAACCATATGGATGTCAAAGAAAAAAAATTATGGGAAGGAATCTGTTGTCTTCTTGCTGAGGTCTACTGTTATTTTAAGAAAAAATAATAAAGTTGATTCTTGGGCACACTAATTCTCAAGTGAAGTAGGGTTATCCTGTCAACAGAGTCTTTTGAATGATTTGCTTACGTGTCTTTTCCTTTACTTTCAGAATTGTCAGAACTGCAAAGGGCGTGGTGCAATTACATGCCAATCATGTAAAGGAAAAGGCACAGTAAGTCAGCACAAGGAACATTACAATATTCCTTTCAGGTATCAGTGCTTCCTTTTGTGCAGAAATTGTGAGTGGAAGGAATATATGACCATCCCAAATCCAGAAAAATAGGTGATACAAATACAGGTGGTCCTCGACTTATGACCATAATTGTGCCTCAAATTTCCATTGCTAAGTTGTTAAGTAGGTTTTGCCCCATTTTATGACCTTTCTTGCCACAGTTTTTAAGTGAAGCACTGCAGTTGTTAAGCTAGTAACAGGGTTGTTGAGTGAATCGGGTTTCTCTTTTGACTTTGTTTGTCAGAAGGTCTCAAATGTGATCACATGACACAAACACACCCGTGGGACACTGCAACAATAAAAAATATATGCCAGTGGCCGTGCATCTGAATTTTGTTCATGGGAATGCTGCAGTGGATGTAAATGTGAAAAAAAGTTGTGTTACTTTTTTCAGTGCCGTTGTAGCTTTGAACGGTCACTCAACACATGGTTTGTGAGTCAATACCTGTAATTAGGCAATTTGACTCAGTTTGGATGGTTGTATTTAAGCTTCAAAACGTGGTTAAGAGACCTGGTCTTTCATTATTGGAGGGGCAAACTACAGTATGTGTTCTGCATCTATAGGAATTTTTTTTTTTTTTGCAAATTTGGCTGTTAACTTTAGACCAAATGCAAACCATGAAGGATTTTAAAGGTGATGGCCAGCACCTTATAAAGAAACCAGAGCTACTGTCATCATACAGTATGTTCTTGAAAAAATAGAGGACAAGAGGATAGAGGACAAGTATGGGCAAATCTGAAAAAGGTGGATAAAGATAAAAAAAACTTAATTCTTTGTAGCTATAATATTGGTTTACAAAGGAAAATTTGAGAGCAAAATGAAGAAAATTTAGGAAAACGCATATATTAATAAAAATATCTAAAATCAAAATGTGTAAATTTATTGTAAAAAGACCTTGCAATTTTTAGATTTTTCACATATATTTGAAAGGCTGTCCTAATGGCACTATTTATATGGTAAAAGTTAAATAAAGGACTAAAGAGAGTTTCTGAAAAATAAATCTGAAGGAAGCTTTCTGATTTAAAGACTGTCCTTTATTTAAAAAAAAGAATGTATGTTCACTGAATCAGAGGTGGGTTGCTACCGGTTCGCATCTGTTCGGGCAAACCGGTAGCGGAATGTTGGCCTGTGTCACAGAACTGGCAGCGACCCAGGCTGGCTATGCCTCGGAAGCGGTTCCCCAGTCGCCGCAGCATGTTGTTTTGCCATTTTTTAATATTCTGCGTATGAACTGACCTATTTACATGTGCACATATGTGCGCACTGAACTGGCAGTAATGCTAACAGCAACCCACCCCTGCATTGAATCGTAAGCCATCTGAAAAGAAGCTTCTCTCTCAAAGCAGAGCCTTGTTCCCTGTTGATCTGAGGGGTTGGCTTCTTGGCTACCATTCCGAGAAGCCCTAAAATACTTATTTTAAAACAGGTTTTTTTTTTAGTATCTTTAATGCTGATTTGAATGTCACTGGTCTTATCTCAGGTTTAATGGCTTTTATTGTAGACCACCAAAAATAATATGGAACTTTAGCCACTTGTTGATGATGACGTTACTGTTCTTAAATAAATAAATTTAAGTTATACTGTATTTCCTCAAATATAGAAAAAGTGCTCAGCTTGTAATGGCACTGGGTTCAATTCATCTGACTACACTTCCTGCTCATGGTGTTCGGGCTCNGGCAATATGCTGACTCTCTGTAAACCGCTTAGAGAGGCCTGAAAGGCCTATGAAGCGGTATATAAGTCTACTGCTATTGCTATTGCTATTGTGGGTCCCAAGGAGCAAAGGGTTGTACGAGTTATGTGTGAGCTGAAGATCCCAAGAAGCTAAAAGTCTGAGTCCTTGACATACACAATTGGAGGTCTTCATCTTTGACTCCTACCATACTTGTTTCAGGACAATCTTGGTTTTTTTTTTATGATAGTGCAGATTACCAATAAAGATTGGAAACAGATAGTATAAACGTGGGGAAAATTGATTCAAAAGGAATGAATGTGTAAACAGTCTTGCTTGTGCTTGTTCACTTGAGGCTGTTTGAGGCAGGGTTGTAGCAAGTCTAACTGGCCTTAGGATTCAGGGATTTCAGCCATATAACCGGCTTCTGGTCAAAGGATAAGGTGATACTAAATGCAAAACAAATTCAAATGCTGACAAGCAAAACTCAAGTGCATCACATCTGGTTCTCCATTACCTTCTGCTGGATGTTAATTTAGCTTTCCAGTCTTGTTTATAGTGCTGGGATTTCCTGGCTGCATCCCTTACAAGTATTAACCAATCTGATCCTTCTTAGCATTTTCAAGCTCATTTTAAGATTCTTAGGAAGCAGCAGCAACACTTCTAGCCATGAAAGGCAACAAGACAAGTTCATTCTTTACTATCGACTGCCTCCAATGCCTCAGTGACTTAAATTAACAATAGACTTTCCCTGCGTGCAAGTTTCCAGACCACAGTAGGTTGATAAGAATTATTTTGTGCCTTCGAAATCAGTCTGGTGATTGAACAAATCCCTGCTGTTTTCTCAGTAAGAATTTTGGAAGTGGTTTCGTGCCGCTTTCTTCTAAGGATTGGGGGGCGGGGAGAGAGATTGGGCTGAAGTGAGCCAGCTGGCTTTGTGTCTAAGACAGAAGAAATAGTCCCCTAGGTCTTAGCCTGGTACTTTTAACCATTATACCAAAATATTAATTCCCCAATTGTGGTTCTTCTCTGAATTGCCTAGGTATCATCAGCTTCCGCAAGAAGAACCAGTCACTGGACTAAAGAATGAAACATTACAGCTTGGTCCAGAGCAATTCATGACACGGCATCAAATTGAAGAGGTAAACAAAGCATTGAGCTTATCAACCACAGCAAAGGGCTCCGTTCTCTGAGACATCTGGGTTATCCTTTGAATCCCTTGCCTGATTTAATTTACACCCTTGTACCACATCAAGGATGATTTAGCACGGGTGTCTGCAACCCACGGCTCCGGAGCCGCATGTGGCTCTTTGGGCCCTCTGCTGCGGCTGTCTCTCAGGTGATCGCACCACTGGCTGGCCTCACCCTCCCCTCCCAGTGACTCCTCACCTGGCCTGAGAAGGTAAGGGTGACGGCAGACAGTGGAGAAGCGGCTAGAGTACCTCATTGCCTGCCCAATGCCTCATATCAGAATCGGGGGGGGGGGGAGATAGGGTGGGGGGGGAGACACAGAGCAATACAGAGAGGGGGAGAAACAGGCATAGACACGGAGAGATACAGAAACAGGTGGGATAAAGAGAGGGAGAGAGAGAATGTCAAGAGAGTTTTGTGGCTCCAGTATTTTTTAACAACTGGTTCTCTGCCCTAATGACCAGCTGGGTAAGCGTGGCTGGGGATGGTGGTCATGTGATTGGAGTGATGGCGAGTTGGCCACGCCCAGCCAGGTTTTGTGGCTGTTTTCTTTTCTGTGGGAAATGGGTCCAAATGGCTCTTTGAGTGTTTAAGGTTGCAGACCCCTGATCTAGCAAAAACACTGAAACAGGAATTACCAGTTCGTCATTGCCTTAACATTTAGCCGAGATGGATGGGAAAAGCGTTGAAGCCTGGAACCTCTCAAGATATGCAAGAAAGGCCAAATGTGTTTTTCCTCTTGTTTTTTTGACTGTCTCCAACTTTCTCCTTGCAGGCTCTGGTGGTGTTGCAACTCCGGGATAACATAAATGTCCTATTTCTGGAAAGGTGGCAGGAATTGGCCCAGCATGTGTCTGCGGTGACCAGAGCTATAGCACTGCGTCCTTATAAGTGAGTGTCAAGTTGTCACGTTGCCTTGACAAAGTTTCGGAGCTGTGAAGCAGAAACCACAAGACTCTTATCCCACAATCCTTTCACAAAAAATCCGTAAATAAGCTTTTTGTGTGACTTTTGTCTTTGCAGGACTAATGAGATTGTTTCTTTTTTTAAAAAAATTAGCGTTTAGTGTTCTACTGATACAGCTGCTTGATTTACACTGCACTGTATTTAGAACAAGCCACACACTATGTTTTGTTCTGCCTTGCTTGCAGTGGTTAGTGTTACAGGGTCCATTGATAATACCTACTTCGTGTTTAATAATGTTTTAACAGGGAACATTCTGAGCTCCAAATGGTCCCAGCCCAATCTTAGGAATGGGACGTCCTGACCAGCATGGAAACTCTCTTGGCTCAAGACAACCCCTTCGGAACAGGCTATTGTGTGGTCAGTTCTGACATGTTAAGCCAAAACAGTAGCCTATGAATAACCCATACGTAACGGCTTCTTCGACAGGAAACATCAGGAAAAGCAGCCTTTCTCCTTCTGTGCCAAAGGCAAGTGGGCTAGTGGTGTGCACATTGGCAAAGACGGGAAAGGGCTCCAAGAGACCTGGCTGAAACAGATCCAGCAGTTCAATCGAGTCAGTCCAGCTATGGCAACAGCTATTGCTCAAGCCTACCCTTCGCCAAATCTACTCCTACAGGTCAGTTCATTCCACCAGTTGCTTTCTCTTGGCTGTAGGGGAGGGAAATCAAGGGAGGCAATTCTCAAGAACTGGCGCTAAATTTAGGCACCTGTTGAGGCCTGCCAGCAGCAGATTCCGACACTGAGGAGGTTGGGGAGGAACATGGGCCAGTCCTGGAGCCTGGGGAAGGCTCTGATGAGAGCTCTGCGTCGGAGGCAGAGAGGAGGCCAGGGCCGTATGCCAGGCAGACGAACAGCTGGAGCCTGTTCCCAGTGTGTGCATGCGTAGAATTGCCAGACGAAGGGAACAACTGAAGAACAGGGTTCGACTTGGGAGTAAGGCCACAGGTGGACGATGAATGGACCCTCCCAGAGGAAATAAAAGAGGAGCGAAAGGGGAGGGGAGTTTGCAGGAGACAATCAGTTCACTTAATTGGTTTGTGACTCCTTGCCAAGTTTTACAGATATCGGCCTGGCTGTTCTTCAAGCCAGAGAAGGTCTGTGACTGTAAATCCTCCCTTGAAAGACTTTGTTGGATGTGAATGAGCAGAATTCACAGTAAATTAATAAAAGAGGGGTTTTTTTTTCGGGACAAGGAGTTTCCTTCATGCTCTTGGGAAGCCTCGGTCAGAACAGCACCAGATCTCTGTTGTCTCAGAGTAGGATTAAGTAGGCCGCAAGTAAAAACCACAGAGATTTCAGCGAAAAGGGGGTGGGTGGAAATACCAGTGGGATATTTACTCAGATGCTGGATAAAGCCACTCCTAGTAAACTTCATTCAATTCTCTCCAAGGGTCAATTTCTCATTATTCCAAGCCTATTGAGTTCTCCTGGGTGAGGAAGCATTTCTGGGCTAGATTTCTTTTCTTCCTCTAAATACTTTTGTTTCCCTGCAATATAGCCAGTTGTTGTTTTTTCTTTTGCTTCTTGTTAGCAGCAGGGCTTCTGTTTAGTTTACATAAGGATCCTCCTTAAGAAAACAAATTGTATATCAAATCTTTAATGATAACAGCTACCCGTGAACTCATTAATTCCGTTGGGCTTTTCTTAACCCAAAGCTTTGTTAGAGATGCTCCAGATCTGTTCTCCTCACAGCAAACCAGCCTTGCTTATACTTCATCCCTTTTGCTATCAAGAGCTCTTTTCTAGACAATTCAGTTTTAAAAGGCTAGGGGAAAAGTGGTTTCATGCTAAAATAACATCACAGAGACCAGATTACCAGAAATTCATGGCAATTGGGTATCCTTGCTTTCTTTCAGGCCTACCGAGAATGTAATACAGAGGCAGAGAGACGACTTCTTCTCAGCAACCTCCAAGTCAGAACTGAGGACAATAAAACGGAGAGACGGATCGGCCCAGACCTGTCTCGCCGGGTCTACCTTTTCATGGTATCTACAAATCCAGAGCTTGTCCTAGATTTAAGTTGTTGAAGCCCCTTGTAGTGCTGTTCTGACCACTGGGTCATAGCTCCTTAGCCTTAAAGCTTACTGCCAAAGCTACAAGATTTATTGCAGAAACAGAGTTTGTCAAAATCAATAAATGTCTTTGTGCACAAATGCTATCAACGAGCCTATCTTGACGGTGGGGATTTTTTAAATTTCCGTCCTTCTGCCGAATAATTTATTATTATATATCATTATGCTGTTTGTTTGGCATATTTTTTTGTGTTCATGCATTAAAACATAATGTGACTTGGTGGTTGTATGTTTGAGAGAACCTAGCTTAAATATAAAAGTGTCTATAGGTATTTTTAACTGCAGCATACCTTATTTTTTTAAAAAGGAACACCGAATCCCTTATTTTAGTGCAATCTTAATCCAGTTAAGTAATCAATTCCGTGAAACGAAAGCTCTGTATTTTGCTTTCATTTAATCAGACGACACCAGGGAGTCAGAAGGGAATCTATTATACTGCCAAATCAGTGATTAAATCCAGAAATTAATACTAATCCATGATTTATTACAAAACGATGCAGCTTTGTTCCCTTCATACACCTCCTTTCACAATGGACCATACTTTATCATTTGTATTAAGCATAGGAGAAATTGAAGGGAATGTAATTGCCCTTGTGCTTATCCATACATTAAAAATATCAAGAGAGCCTTTTCTGGCTACCCACATGGCTACCCACATAAGTAATCATTAGGGAAAAGACCATACCAATACAGGCTTTTGAAACTGCAAAATGCCCCGCCAGTACGTATCCTTGCAGTTAGTTTTTAATGACATAGATTAAAGGAAGAATTTGAATATTTAAACTTACCTCCCCAGGAAATATACATGGGATGTGAATACCTTTAAATAAGTAAATTACAGCTGGCTGTGAAAAGAGGAAATGTAGGACTCAAGATCCAGAAGAAAGCAGGAGCATCCAGAGTTGAGGTTCATCCACATAATTCCAACTACTAGCCTGGTATTACATTTGAATCAGATAATTAAGATAATGAGGGAAACCTGATTAGAATTTTCTGTAGACAAGAGGACAGCAAGGTTGACGAACTAGCCTATCATCACTGATCAAAGTCTGTATATATATTTTAATTCTTTTGGGTATAGTTCAATACAGGAGAAGTAATAAGACATGCAAAGAAGGTTGAAGAGTTGCAGGCCTCACATGATACCACTTACGCTGTCAAAAGGTTTAACGTTCTCTTCTGAATACCAAAGCACTGAGAATG